GTATTCCAATTATAAAAATACTCAACAAAACTGTCCCCCGTTCCCGTCTCGCTTCACCTCGCCCCGCGCCCACTCCGTTTAATAAATGATTTTGGAACAAGAATGGGAGTAGCTATTCTAAAAGGGGATGATGTTCCCTATCCCAAACTGCCCCATTGCCATCCCTACTTATGGTGCCATTTGCATTTACAATTCATTATTTTAAACATAATCACTTTATTAATTAAATGACATTAATTATTAATCCGTATTATCATTTTAAGCAAGGAGATTATTGAATTTGTGTGTTGTATTATATCTTCTTCGATTTTTTTTTTTTTCCCGATATATCATAACAATAAATTGAACCAAAAAAGAACTACACAAAGCATGTTGAAGCCCAAGGAGCTCTAAGGCCCAACAAGCCCAAAAAGGTCAACAGAACAACTACCTAAAGCAACTAGGAGAAGTATGATCCTATCATGATTGTTATATTTTGTGAATCGTACCGAGTATTACAAAATAAAGACCATACAATCTACCACTGTCGAACTCTATAGTCTGTCATATGGTGGGTATTTTGGGGGTGGGTTAGATTTTGGTTGGAACTTAGATAGTTACACACCTCTTATACATTCTTCCAATCCATTTTCCTAATTTCACTGAAATGCTTTTAAAAACTGCTCATTTTTCAAAGATTTATTATTTTTTAATTTAAATCTAATTTAAATTTGATTTCCTTTAGATATGCTAACTTTCATTTAATTTGATATTAATATTTTATTCATTCACATCTGAACTTTCCCATAGACTTTTTAGAGCATTCACAGTGGGAAATTTTTTAATTTATTTATTACAAAAATTAAATGAATATTCTCACAAATTTATTTATTGACATTAATCATATTCTCACAAATAAATAAATAAAATACAGCGTGTATATTGCCAACAATTATATTAGTTGGCATTTTACATATTTTAAAGGAAATAAATAAAATACATTATGCATATTTTTTAACAAATAAGTTAATAAAATAAAAAAGACATTATATATAGATCATGACTAATTTAATTGAGTGAATTGAATGTGCTATTTATAAAGATAAAAAAAAATTAAATTAAATTAAAAAAATCAATGAGTAGCTCTTTAATTTTCCTTTTTATTAACTTATTACTCTAACACAATATATGATTAACTTAGTATTTTATTTAAATTTTTTTTATTAAATTATTATTCTAACACAATATATGATTAACTTAGTATTTTATTTAAAATAAATGGTGTAAGGTCTACTGTGAAAGTTCTAATTTGAACTCCAAATTTGGAGTTGTTGGTCAAGATTTTGAGTGAGCCCCACCAAGTGGAGTTTCCCACAAAACTGCATTTGGATCTCCACCGAAGGTGGTTGGCGTTTGTGGGCTTGCTCCTAATTTGAATTTTTTGAAAAGGTGTTTTAATAATTTTCGTGCATATCACATCGTCGTAATACAAATATATTTATTTATTCTCAACTTCTTGTTATTCTTGATCATTATAGTGAAATTTTTTATAATTATTGGACGTAACTCTGATTTTGGGTGAATTAAGTAAAATCTATGGATTATTATTTGTGTGTATTTGATCTCTTTCTTGTATTTTTTATTTAATTTCGCAACATAACTTTCTATTGTAAATATTTTAATATATTTTTTTCTCTTGACAAATAATTTGTAAATTCACTTTGTTCGCATCAACAGTCAATCTTTCATTTTTATAAATAGAAAAAATACCACTAAACTAAAAATTTTAATTTCTTAGATACCCATTTATGAGAAATGTATTCACGAATATTTAAAAAGTATCGATATTTTATAAAGACGCAATATAAATGCGTCTCATGTAGAAATATTCGTATTTCCTAAACATCAAGCAATGTACAGACAATAACTTGAAATTGCAGAAGCAGTGGATGATTCCGTAAGTGTTTGTGGCTGGCTCGAATCCAAAATTTGATTATCTTAATATATTATTTTAATAATACTATATGCGAACTGCTGTCTTTCACTAATTGTTACGTTTAGATATTGAAAAAAAAAATCATATTTATAATTTTTAATCAACAGCCTTCCCTAGATACCAAAAATGGTATTTCTTAGGATTATTCACGGGTTAGGTAGTTTTAAAAATTCATACTATGTTTGCTTGATTAGCAAAAGAAAAATGAAAATTTTATAAACAAAGACGAGTTTCATAAGGTGCTTCGCAACTCAAATACTAAAATATAGGACTACTATATAGCAAAACTGGTCCAACGTTTGACATAATACTGATGAAAAAAGTGTATGTTTGATCATAATATCATTCACCATTAGATGATTAGAAGGGTCATAACACCCATAATTCTACTATTTTCTCTACTTATATAAGATCGTTTTGATGTAGTTAGAATAAGTATTTATTATCTATTTTCTCTTCTTAGCTTTGAAGTAAAAGCTCTTGATTTATATAAGACCGTTTTGTTTTTGTCAGATGTTGTAACGGTGACAGTGGAAAAAACATATTTGATAAAAAATATTTTGTTTTACACAGTGCTGGAATATTTCATAAAATAGTGACAAAAATTCAAAACACTAATTTAGTATTTTTATATGTTTCAGTAATATCGCAACCCTATAAGGATGAACAATAAATAATAAATATTTTTAAAAAAAATCTTAAATAACATTTTAAAACTAATTATTATACTTTTTAAATTTATAACTCATTTTTATTAAATATATTTTTACTTCAAAACATATTACAACAAATGAACGCTGCTAAACATATTTTGGATTAATAATTATTTGGAGCGTTGCATTGAATTCTAAATTTAAAAAGGAGGAAAGTTCAACAAAGAGGTAATGGCAGAAGTGATAAATGCATTTAGTGCTTCACTTACCTTTTATGTAAAACACTGGTGGGTTAATCACGCGCCAATCCCCTGATTTGCGGAGTCTATCAAGCACACTTTGGTAACTTAATACGGTTGTAAATTTTAGTTAAACCCAAAAAAAGACAAAGTTTGTTTTGATGTTTCTAAATTCAAGTGCCTCCTCGGGTAGGTAGGTCTACATAGTAAGTACATGTTTGTCGGCAAAGGAGTTTCTCCTATTTTTTTTTTTTTTTTTACAGTACTTTTGAATGATGGCGTTGCAAAGGCCTTTATTTTTTTTTACTAGTGTTTTTGCTCCAATTTTGTGGAGTGAGAAAATAAGAGAGATGAAAACTGAAAAGGGGATGCAGGAAAGTGGAAGAGAAAAAAAATATAAAAAAATACTCCTTATGTTTTTATTTTTTATTTTTTAATTTTATTTATACAATATTAGACTTTATAAAATTAAAGTTTTAGAATTAATCAACGAGTCAGTGACCTAAAGATATCAGGTCTTTACTTCTAAAAGGAAAGTAGATAATTGAAATTTCGGTGAAGGTATGTGTGTGTGAATACCAATTAAGAGGAAAAAAAAAAAATTACAAAATTAAATAAAATTTTCTCTAAATTTACCAAATCAAAATTTAAAGGTCAAATTTCATATAGCGGAAAACAACTATAGAGTATCTTCCGAGTGTGTCGGGCATGCCAAGTATTGGTATGCTTGCCAAATTTAAATATACCATTGGAATTAGTTAAAATAAGTTTCTATTTTGTAGTATAACTAATTTTATTGAAGGGTGTATTTTTAAGGGAGTAGGCATACCGATGAGGAGGTACACGCCAGCTCACCAAATATTAATTTATTTATACTTTTTTTTAATGTTTTTATTTATACCAAATCAATAATTTATTATATTATACAATATGTACTTAAAAGGGAATGGAAAAATAGCGGAAAAATAACATGATTTTTGGCAACAATTATATTAAACATACAAAAAAAAAATTGCATCTTTCATAGTTTTGTTGAATTTCATGACCTTTTCAATCATTAAGGCTTTATCAATAGGCCTGTAGTTTAGCGGTATCATACTCTTACCTTCCAAAGGGATATAAAGGGTTCGAACCTCAGTGGACGCAGTATGTATGAGTACCAACTAGGAAAGAACTTCGTGGAGGCAATGTGTGTGAATACCAACTAAGGAAAAAAAAATCATTAAGGCTCCGTTTATTTGGATGTAAAATATTTTTTGATATTTGGTTGTTGTAAAATATTTACAAAGAAAAAAATATTAAAATTTAACAAAAATAATTTACTCATTAATTTTAGACAAGTTATTTTACACGTCCTATTCTATGGACTCAATTTCAACCTCAGCCTAAATCTTCGCCAAATATCAAAAAAAAAGTATTTTACCTAAAATCAAATATTTTACAGGGAGCCTAAAAGTTTGGCAAATTTGAACTATATCTAAGGCTCCAACCCACATGGTTTTGGAAATCGAATTTCTCATTTCTAGTTGGGTGGAATTGCTCTAAAAGAGAATCATTATTATTATTTTATTTATTTATTGTGAAAAAATAAATTCCTAATCCAGGAAAAAAACTTAAAGATTCTGAACAGGAGGCTCAAAAAAATATGGAGAAATTAAGATACTTATTATTTGCTCATCCCACATGGATTACAAAAATTTTTGTATAGAAATAAATCTCTAGTTCTGATTATTTGACTTTTTTTGTCACCCTAGTTTAATGAGTCATATCGTCATCACATCACAAAAGACATATGTTTGAGGTAATATTGTTATTTTTTCTGTTAGTTTCCAAAATAGCTTAGTGTTGAAAAGTTCTATATAGAAGCAACAAAAAAATCTCTAACCATATTAGACCAAACAAAAATCTTAAGAACCACATCCAAGCCCAAGTTCTAACAAAGATTACCATAATATACAGAGATTACCGTAATATACAGAGATTACCGTAATACAAGTTAAAAAAGAATTATTTACAAGAGCAACCAGTTGAGAAGGTCACCAGTTGAGAAGGTCCCAGTTGAGATTTTTTTCTTTCCTCCACCCTAGGCTTGTGCCATATGGCCACACTATAAATATCAGAATCACTTAACACCAATGACTGATCTCTCTCTATACATACATACATACATACATATATATATATATATATATTCCTTATTCTCTCACTTACTTTACCTGTACAACTATCATATCTCTCTTTAATCTTTAGTCATTCTTGCCGGTACTCCACTGGTGGAGGGAGAGACCAAAAAAAAAAAAAGTATGTTCCTTCGGAATCCAATTTCGAGGTTTGTGGCTATATAGTATTAATGTGTGAAATAGAAACCGACGAACCAAAAGCGAAAACACACACATGAATGAGATCACCAATGCTATCATCACAAGCCTACCAATTTGCAGATTTATGATTGTTAGTTCTCTTTTAATCTCTCTCTCTTATCTGTTGTATTTTCCTGACTTTGAGCAAATAATTGAATGTGTAGGAAGTTGGCATTCCAGTATTGTCATCACAGTGTTCTTGCGTGATTCGGATAGTACTTTCTATATGTGCTCTTACTTTTCTCCTTGGGATCTTCAAAATATTCTCTGCGTTTCGCGGATCTGTAACTCAGACGACTGAAGCTTCCTCACTCGTTAGTCAAAGTTTCCGACTCTCATTGTTTCTATTTTGTATCTGTATAAGAAACTAAAATTTTAAGAAACCATTCCTCTTTGCACCTTATTATGTTTGATTTTGAACGTGAATTTTTTTTTTTTCTTTTTTTGTCCGAATTGGATTTCTCAATCAGAACTGTTTGTTCACAATTAACTTAACCTTTTATTCTCAATCTCACACAGTAGAAAGTTGTTGATATAGTTGGTTTCAAAATTGCAGGTTTTGAGCTCAATCAACGAGAATCTGACTTCAGTACTGTTGAAGCTTCAAAGATATTATTTGCAACCCTCTAAAAATGGGGAAAACAGGGAGAGATTGGACACAGATCTATGCAATCTACGGCATGGATAATTGGCAAACGCCAATCTTCCTCCTCATCCACGCCATCATCTTCTCATCCCTCTCCCTGCTTTTCCTCCTCTACTTCAACCCTATCTGCTGCTTCTTCGAGTCTCACTTCTCCGCCCTTCCTGGCGGCGGCGCTCGCTTCGCTGCCGGGTTCACCGGCTCCGTCACCGCCCTCTCCGCTGTCTGCTTCTTCTTCGCAGCCGGCAACATCTTCTATTCCGCCGTGTCACTCCACTGGGACATGGCGCAGCGCATGGTCAGCGCGGTCAACGACTGGTCATCAGTCAAGCACGCGCTGGACGTCGGATGCGGTCGTGGCATACTCCTCAATGCGGTCGCGATGCAACTGAAGAAAGGAGGCAGTTCTGGTCGGGTCGTCGGACTTGACCCGAAGAAAACGACGTTCTCGACCCTACGGACGGCTGGGATGGAAGGAGTGCAAGAGTACGTCACGTGCCGCGAGGGCGACGCGCGCAGACTGCCGTTTGGTGACAACTACTTCGACGTGGTGGTATCGGGCGTGTTCGTCCACACGGTGGGGAAGGAGTTCGGGCATCGGACGGTTGCGGCGGCGGCCGAGAGGATGAGGGTGGTGGGGGAGGTGGTTAGGGTTTTGAAACCCGGTGGGGTCGGAGTGGTGTGGGACCTGCTCCACGTGCCCGAGTATGTTAGGAGGTTGCAGGAATTAAAGATGGAGGACATCAGGGTATCCGAGCGTGTAACGGCCTTCATGGTGAGTAGCCACATCGTATCATTCCGGAAGCCTAGTCAGCATGTAGTGGGCCCTACTGAAATTAGGCTGGACTGGTGCCACAACATCTGCTGATTTCAAGAGACAACATAATTAATATGGTGATAAAAACATGAAGCTTTTTCTTATTATGTTTTTAGACAATATTTTTGAGATTGGAAAATCTGGGGAGACGAAGCCGAACCAGATGGTTTGTTTGGAAGATGAAGATGAAAATGAGCTTTAATGTAGAGATATACATTTTATAAGTTAGCAAACAATTGTAATAATGTGTGTTTATGGAAGTTGTAATTGATAGGGCCTAAGAGTATATAATGATATTTTGTGGGTGTTTGTGATCTTTTTATATTCCTTTTACTTGATTTTCATTTAGGAAAGAAATGACTATTGTTTATATATAAGTTGTTTGTGTACTTTAAGTCTGACACCCATTTACATGTTAACTATTGCGTTGAAAACTCTAAACGATTAGAAATGTCCCTTGAATTGATTATTCATGATATTTCATAACATGCTTTACCACTTAAACGTATCAATAAATTGTATCTCTGTTTAAATATAATTTTTAAATCATAGCAATTAAAAATTTGAAAAATAAAAGAGGAGAATGGTATACAATATGTGTGGAGAAAAATATTTCTTGTGGAGAATGGTATACAATATGTGTGGAGAAAAATATTTCTTGTGTTGGATTCTAGTGAGAGGCTGAGAATTGAAGTTTGAAATTAAAATTTGTGAAATTTGAAAAAAATAATTAAAATATTTTCAAATTTTAATTTCAAACTTTAATTTTTTTTTTCAAATTTTACCAATTTCAATTTTAAGGCTTTTAATTTTATACTGCCGGACACATCCTGAAAACATTTCAATTGTGTAAATTTCAATTGATTGATGGCTCTGAATCAACTAATTTCATTAGCCCATTAAATGGATTTGTTGATTATTGGTAGCCATTTTAGCGGTTGACAAATAATAATACATTTTGTTCCATGTGACTGTTCAATTTATTGAAGGTTGCCTTATTGAGAGGTCCCCATTTTAAATCTTTTGAAAGGGGCAACACAATGGACAGAGTGAATGGTTAGTTTGTTAATTAAAGTCTGATGCATTAAAAAAATCTCAATGTTGTTACAGAAATTTTCTCTCAGTTTTAGTAATATGTATTACTCTTATCACTGTGGCTACATCTTTCATGGGTGTAGTGGTAAAAGTATGAGTTATTATTATTATTTTTTATTTTATTTTATTTTTCTCTCTTAAAAAGTTAAGAATAAAAAGTTTGAATTGTCAAAATGAAAAATGTCACATTCAAGATTTTAAAAAGAATATTAAAGCTAGATTCATTTCAAATCTCTCTCTTTTAACATTATGCAAAAAGAAGATATCATATAGATCATATAATCTGATACAAATCAACTGCACATAATAAATTTATTTTATTTGTTATTCTGACAAATTAGGGAGAGAAAAATTCAAATGGAGAGTTGAACACTCTGCAACTAGACCACTAATTAATGCAGTATGAAAATTTATTACACAGAAAATAGAAGTACCAAAAATTCCTTTTAGACTCCAAAATATATAATTTTCCTTGCTTTGATTTCTCGAGGGGTGAGCATTTGGGATGTGAAAAAAAATACTCGAAGGGTGTGTTAGGCTAAATAGAATTGAAGTTTTGAAATTGAAATCGATAGAATTTAAGAAAATTTTGGTTTAATTTTTTAGTTGTTTTCTTTTTTTTTTTTTCAATTATATCAATTTCAATTTCAAAGTTCTAATTCCATAAAGTATAAGCCTAAATGTATAAAATATAAGTGAAACATATTTTATATAAGTGAAACATCTATGAAAACTTATACTCCGTGATTGTTAATATCATTTTTTTAATTAATCAGTGAAAAGAAAGAAAGAAAGAAAGAAAGAGAAAAGACCAAGAAGAAGAATAAATCGCTGAATCAGGGGCAATACAGACATTTCAATTCTCATAACCATACAAAATCAGGCAGACATTTAACAGATAGGCTTTCAGATGAGGCGCGCCGAAGTGTCTTTGCAACTACTACCAAACACCTTCCATGGCGTTCCCTTTATCCTCCGCCATTTTATCTCACAAGGTCTCTTTCAATGTCTCCCACACTCCCTCTATCCCAAAGCAAGCTTTTCTTTCAACCCCTTTTCTATCTCCATTCAACCCAATGCGTAGAGAAGACGACACCCCAAAATCAGCTCACCGCAAGTTCCGCCGCATTTTCGCTAAAAGTCCTTCAATGGTTAGTTCAGTTCTACTCAAATTTCCTGCTTCTTGTGATCATGGTTTATGGAATTGATCTTTTCAACAATGTAATTGAGGAATAATTTGGACATACACAATAATGCACAATGCTGTGGACTTGATCAACGCTGTTTGTGCAAAAAAAAAAAAAAAAAACTCCTCTTTGTTACATTGGGTTTGGCATCAAATGTTATGAAACTAATCAACAAAAGCTAAAATCCCTTAAAACTGTCAAAATGTTTTTGGACATGCTCGCTTTGATATTTAAATATGTGACGCCGTTTAATTCAGTAGACCAGCTGTTTGTACTAAGAACACAGAGAGATACAAACATTCATTTATCTGTATTTGAATTATTATTTTTTTGATAAGTGAATTATTATTATTTTGATAAGTATTTGTATTTGAATTATTTAATGTTTCCTGTGTTAAAAGTGTTTTTGTTCAGCATTGTGTTTGTTGTGATTGAAAAAATGTGGAAAACTGAGGATTGCATTCAGGAGTTGAATTAAATAAAACGAAGAAAAATAAAGATCAACATTGAAGGATTGCTTTAATTTGTGAACCTTGGGACTTGTCTTTGAATTGCTATACCAATTGTGGAAGAGAGTGCTTGCAGATATATAGGTTACTCCCTCAAGAGCCCTTTGTTACCCAATAGGCCACATGATTCTCACTGTCACTTGAGGTCTCTAACTTTGCTGTTCCCCGAAGTATAAATAAAAAGACTTTTTCTCCCTTTGGAGTTTCAGAAACACCCTGCCAATTCTCTTATACCACTTATTAGAAGTGACTAAGTGAGAAGTGTGGAAAACCTTCAAAACCGTGTGCACATGTACAATGTAAGAAAATGAATAAAATAGAATAAAAAAACGAGGATTTACTGGTGACCCGTAAGAGAATTATTTCTTTGAAATTGGGGATCAAAACATGGGAATATACCTTTCTCAATTACTTGGTGAAAACCCACTAACATCTCTTTGACAACTTAATCAATAACCCTAAACCCATTGCTACACACAACCTGTTGCTAGTGCAGGACCAACACCTGATTCCACCGTTCAACAATCTATGAGTCTTTGCATTTTTGGGAAGATGCCGCTCTTTGAAAATCCCTTTGTCATCCAAAGGGTTACATAATTTCCATTCTCTTCACCCTCTAGCTTCCTTGCCACCTTATATGCTTGGGTAACTCAGATAAATTTTTGGTGTCTCTCCAAGTACCCATTCATAAATAAACTATTACCATCATTAGGACATGAAATTGAGTGTATCATATTTTTATGTCAGAATCCATATCTGGATCCAGATTCAAGTCTGATACTACGAAATCCACATTCGACCCATATAATACTCCCTCCGTACCAAAATAACTGTCGCACCTTGGGATCCCAATTTTTTAAAGGGACATGCATTTAATGCACTGTCTCTCTTGAAAATTACAAAACTAACCCAACAACATTAAACATTTACTTTACTGATTTGAAAAAGTTTTCGAAATCTAAGGACAATTTCATAAAGTCTAAAATCTATATAAAACGACTCAATTTGGACTGGATCTTGGGTAAAACCCACTAGTTGGACTCATTATAAAATCCAGATTCAAAATTATAATCTAACTCCAGTTAAATGGACTTTGGTTTGGATCAGATCTGATCTAATCTGATCTTGGGCAAACTCGTACCATTGCATGCTCTAACCATCATATTCATGGAAAAGAACCATGGGTTGTGATTTTTCCATCACGAGCACTAATAGTATTTTTTATTTTTATTTTTATTTTTTGTTTAATAAGTAATCACGAGCACTAATAGTTTATTACCTTTCTGGATGATAAGAAGACCATAGAGGTCAAAAACTGCAAGAAGTGACAAAAAATGTGATCCAATGTTAGCACATTGATTAAATTTCTGTGATGCATTTCTACTGTAATTAAATTCACCGCTCAATAACCACAGTAATTGGCTTCTTGTTTTGATATGTATGTGCTGACCATCTTCTGCTTTTTTCTGGAGTTGATTCTACCTTCTGTAAGACTTCAGCTCCATTGTTCACCCGTGTTCACTGCTGGATTACTTAAATGCTAAAAATAATCTCTCTCTCTCTCTCTCTCATAAATGTTTGAACGTAATTTATGAAATTGTGTTTCCTTTATCTTGAGGTTCTCCTAGCTCCTAAAATGGATTCTTAGTCATGCAGGAATTCACAAGCCGGCATGAGGTTATCACCAAATTGTATATGTCAACATTGGAAGATGTGATGAAGAGACTTGAGAGTTCAATTTCTGTTATTCTTATTTTTGTCCAGATAACTTCGCCTTTGCCTCTTGTTGGTTGGAATTCGTGGTCTATTTCTCCTGCTAAGGCGGTGCTTTATTCCCCAGACACAAAAGTTCCTAGAACAGGGGAACTAGCTTTGAGAAAGGCTATTCCTGCAAATGCGAACATGAAAACTATACAGGTGTTCTTTTTAAAAAAATTGTTTCCACAATACCATTGCTGAGATAGTAAACAATTTTACAGCCTTTCTTTCTTCTTGTTATAGGATTCTTTGGAGGACATCTCGTACTTGCTAAGGATTCCACAGAGAAAGCCATATGGAACGATGGAGAGTAATGTGAAGAAAGCTTTAAAGGTATTGCTTATTTGCTTTTGATGTATAATGTAGGGTAAGTAAACAACTTAAACTAAAACTGTCTCAATCCAATTCAGCTAGAACTTTATATCTCAGAGACATTCAAATGAGTTTATTCAGTTGTATATCATTTGTTTCATTGTGGAACTTTGGCATTCAAGTTGTCAAACAATTTCAATATTAATACCTTCTATAGAGTTAGGTAGATTGAAATTTCCATTTATCATTTAATGTTATTCCATTTCCTGTGCACCATAGTAGTAACATGAAACAACCAAAATTTATATATGGGGTACTTGTTTATTAACTTTTTCCCTTTTCTGCTAGTTGTTTAATTGCACACGAACTATGACAATGAGGCTTTTTTCTTCAAACTTACCTCCAAAAAGAAGATATGTAAGAAGAGGAATGTTGTGAAAATTTCTGGATGAGCTTAGTCAGCCATCGTAAAGACTACAATTTCACTAATTGGGCAAATTCATCCAGTTATTTATAAATTTTCCCATATTGCTTGTTGATGGAAGTACATTCAGGGCCTAAGTTCATGGATATGAGATTTTTCATAGGAGTCACATTCTTCTACTATTGCATAATTAACATTTCAGACAACTTTTATTGTATGGAATGCAACACATGCCTATTTCTTGAGCTCATTCGGTTCCTGCTATTAGCTTTTTCTTATGCATGTGGTTGTTTTGACTTGCAAGTCTAGTATACCTTTGTGTGTCTGCCCTTTCCTTTTTATCCCACATATATCAGGTTAAATAAGCCATCTTTTCTTTTTTCTTAATTTTTTTCTTCCTTTTGTTGTTTTATGCTCATCTTTTTGTTTTTTTTTTTTTTTTTTGTTTCTCTCTCTCTCTCTCTCTCTCTCTCTCTCTCTTTTAATTTCAGATTGCAATGGATGAAAAGGAGTCCATCTTGGCTAGTCTACCAGCTGATTTGAGGGAAAAGGGTTCAGTGTTATATGTATCTCTTATAGATGGGAAGGTACTCTGGAAGAAAGGAATATAGCTCCTTGGATAAAAAGGCTAGTAGCTTTAATGTCATGTCCACTTTGATTTCCTTGAGTCAAAAGAACTCACTTCCATATCCTGCTGGACCGGCTCCATTTGTTGTTCAGGATCAGTAGATGGCAAAAAAATTATTTTCTTTCGTTTGCTTCATAAGAATTTGGGTAGTTTGTTTACAAAAATTCAAGACTTCTCTTCTTGAAATTGATCTACAAGTGGATTCCTTTTTACTATGGAAGCCACTTTCTCAGATAGAGGATGGATGAACCAGCTTTGCTCTTCTATTTTCATTTAATATATTCGGCGGTAAGGCTTATGAATTTCATAATTGCAGTGATATGCAGCCTCATTTGAAAGCAAGGATACAATTCCTTCAGTAATATTGTTTCCCATTGAAACATAAGGCGCCTGAGTGTTAACAGCCTTAGACTTTACCTATTTATGGGCAGTAAGATGCTTTTGATATTTTTTCTCTAAAATATGATAATCATAATATGTTGCTGGTAAAATATCCTACATGGGTAACAGAACCCAGTTACACTTTCACTATAAGAATCTATGCATGAAATTTAATAAATAACATTAAAAGTTTATTTGGGACAAGAATAATGTGAACTTTGTTTTGGTTGGCCAGGGTGGATTACAAACCCTTCTTGAATCTATAAAAGACAAGGATCCAGACAAAGTATCAGTAGGTCTTGCATCTACTCTGGATAATGTTGCACAACTGGAGTTGTTACAGGTAATTCTGAATCCCCACAGATATTAAATAACTAAAAGCAGAGAGCTGTTTTCAATAGCGTTACTGCCATGTTACTGAACTGGCAAACTTTTCATACCAAAAAAAATATATATTCAATGTCATTTGTGGTTTCTTTTTTGATGGATATTTTTGACTTACGAGTGGTAGATATGAGTAAGTGAAATGTCAACAATTTGATTTTCAACAGGCTCCCGGGTTATCATTTTTGTTGCCTCGGCAGTACTTGGAATATCCAAGGTAAGGATTTTCCATTGATTCTAATTTAACATTCCATTCACAATGTCAATAAATGGGATCATATCCTTAATAGCAGAGGAGCCTACACACGGTTTGTCTGCTTTTAGGCATTAAATATGGAGAGACATAGTACAATAGAAAATAACAAGATTAGGAATTAATTGTGGGGGATGTGATCCCTCAACTAACTACACGTGTTTGTACAAATCACACCAATATGAACAGTCTTCGTGCGTTTTTGGTTTGAGATTGATACAAAAATTGTAAATGGAAGCAAACGCAAAATCAAGGAATTATTTATCAACAACTTTTAATTAAAAATTCCTTCATCAAACAGCTCCTATGTAGCTTATTTGGGTGACAACTTTTGGTAGGTCAAATGGGCCAATTTGACTCAAGATTGAGACCAAAAGTAGTAAATGAATTATCTAACATCATATTTCGTTATTTTTCTAATTAAAATTACTTCACCAAACAGTCCTATGTATACCCATCTTTATTTCTTTCCTTTTCCTTTTTTTTTTTTTTTTCAGCCATTTTATTTGAGAAGTTTCTGGGTAAACTATGTTCTGGCCAGAGAAAAAAATAAGTAAATTATGTTCTGCCTCTTAAAGAATAGTCATGAGATAACTGGTTGTATCATCTGTCCTTGCGGAGTACCTACAGCAAGACCTATAATCATGGAGGACGTAATCCTTTTATCTAAAAACTCATCTCATGGCATATATAATGAGTCAATTATAAATTTGAATACATGTATGCATCTATTATTGAACACTTGGGATATTTTTGGATGTCCCATGGAGATTGAAGCATTTAATTATATTTTACATAGGATTTGACATGAATATCTTGTGTGTGTGTGTTTTTCTTTTTCTCATCGAGTAAGATGAATCTACCTTTTTTCAGCAGCAACTTATATATGATTTCTTCATAACATTTTCATACTAAGGTTTGTTTCCATATTGTTTTGGTGATTATGATGATGTCTAACCATACACCACCAAGTTTGTGAATTCAGCTGCTTTATAATCTGCTACGGACCGTTCTGATTAGCATGTGAAGTTTAAATACTACCTCACAGAATTATGTGAGATGAGTAGGTATTGCTGGTTACACATAGTGACCATTAATGTTTTGGTGAAATCTTTAGGCTCACAGGGAGAGGAATTGTTGAATTTGCCATTGAGAAAGGAGATGGTTCATCATTTTCTCCAGAAGCTGGTGGTGAACCAAGAAACACTGCCAAAATTCAGGTATGGTACCCCATGCTTAGAAGAAAGGCTTATGTCTATTCGGCAGCACTTAGGTGATTGTGGTGGACATCTAGGAAGTTTGTCTTGCAGAGACTAAAGAATGCATTGAGCTCCGTCACTGCCTAGTTTATTTTAGGTGCATTAAATTGGAGTTGACTGTTGGTATAGTCATCATGTGGATATATTCCAAAAAGCTTAATATTAATTCAAGTATGTCTTAATAACACTAAAAGTTGTAATTAAAATACACCACACTTGATGCCTTATACTTTTGTGTCATGCTATAACAAGTTTAGGTTCTTAATGAACTTTTCTTTCTAAAAGTCCCTTTTATCTTAAATTAAATTAAATCTTCTGGAAATTTGTTAGTTATGAGAGAGTGTGTTTAATAAAATTTGAAATTGACTGGAATAGAACTAAATTAGCATTTTGGTTCCCAAATAAAATAGCTTATGACTGTTGAAGGAAATCTTTTCCTCATGTCCAAATTTAATCTAATTGGACATTTTTAGTATGAAATAAAAATAAAAAAAGCTATTTAAAGGCGACCTGTCTGCTAATGTTGTCTTAAAGAACTGAATATCAAAATGTGAAGCAATCTGCAATTAGTTTTCTTTCTCTTTCTTTTTTGGTTGGGGGGAGGTGTTATTTGCATGTTGACTTTCATTTTTATTCTTATATTGCTATATTATCTTCTCTTCAGTTTATATTTTGATCATGGCCCAACAGCTGGTTTAGACAATATTTGGTCAGTCAGATAAATGCCTAGTACCATGGTCACTGGTTTTAAGTGTTCATATGGTCCATTAAGTCTACTTATAGTTCTGCAGATGCCCAGACCACAAAAGGGGTTCAGATGTTGATTTCTGTTTCCATAACTTCTGTGTTAACTGATTATTAAACATGTACTCAGGTTGTTTTAGATGGATATTCAGCACCGTTGACAGCAGGGAACTTTGCAAAACTGGTAAGGTAGTGAGTATTGCTTAATCCTTGTCAAATATTTGCCAATCTTATGCATACACATTCACTTGATGTCAACATTAAATGTGTGATCTCGGTGTTCCAATTTTCTTTTTCTTCTTTCTACCTTACATGAGGGTAGGCCTTGGCGCAATGGTAAGGTTGCTCCATTAGGACTTGGAGGTCATCAGTTTGAAACAGGAAATGGCCTCTCCATATGCGGAGTTAAGGCTACATACATCTGACCATTCCCAGGCCCCGCAGTGGCAGGAGCCTCTTGCATTGAGCTAACCCTTTTCTTTCTACCCTGCATGTTATTTCCATCCTCTAAGTTGGTGGTCCATTTTTAATTTTAAAATGATGACTAAGACTTGCATTGAGAACAACTAAGGGAAAACCCAGTGCACGAGAACAACTGGCATTTATAATTATAAGCTTTTCTTTCTTTCCTTTTTTTTTTTTTTGTTTTTTCTTTTTCAATAGTTTTCTGTGTTTGTGTATATATGCATGTATATTTTTTTTCATTTTTCACTATTTCTATTTATATATGACTAGTTTGTTTATGGAAGGGAGGAGGGATGGTGGGACTGTAAACTCAAAGACGAACTGGAGAACTGGAGGCAAGAAGTTTAAAATTTTGTCAAATATGTGAAACAACACAACTTGAGATTTGGTTAATGCATGGATGAAGAGGTCTCAAGGGAATAACTAGGAATTTCTCAGATGAAAATTACGACTTTGTACTTATTGAGTCCATATAATTAACTTTGAAAGAATATATAACTTTTGATTTCGAATTACCTTACAACAATGATCTGTTTTGTTGGATTTCTGGAATTGTGGAAGTATCATGCCATTGTAATGCTTATGTTTGTTGTAGTGAAGTCTCAACGTAAGATTCAGGAACTTGATAAATTGTTTTACCCAAAATTTTTGAGTGAGGTTCTAAACTCTCACCAGTGTTCAGACCTTTTCTTGTCCATGTCAAAACTAATTTTGGAAGATACATAGTCGCATGATTAAACTTACTGAAAATTACTTAACCACTGATTTAGGTGGTTGATGGGGCATACAATGGGGTGAGGGTCAACTGTACGGACCAAGCAATTCTCTCAGACAGTGGGCTTGGAAAGAACATTGGCTATAGTGTTCCCTTGGAAATAATGCCATCTGGACAGTTTGAACCGTTGTATAAAACCACTTTAAGTGTGCAGGTTTGTTCTTGTTTCAATATGTTCCGCTTTGTAGATGTTAGAATGGCTATCACCGTGTTACTTTTTCTGGTTTCACAATTCACATTTTCCATATGAAGGATGGGGAGCTGCCTGTGCTTCCACTGTCTGTTTATGGTGCAGTTGTTATGGCACACAGTGACGTCTCTGAGGAGTTCTCGTCACCGAATCAGTTTTTCTTTTATCTTTATGACAAGAGAAATGTAAGTAGTATATCTGGGGCGCATATTTTCTATTACAAATACTGTAAGCAAGGTTTGAATGTATTGTTTATTCACCAACAAAGGGAAGATCTGTCGTGTTTATGCTCCTTCAGTATTAATATTTATCTTTGATGATTGAGATATAAATTTCATAATATTGATATATGGTATGATGAATATATTCAACAGGCTGGCTTAGGAGGGTTGTCTTTTGATGAGGGTCAGTTTTCAGTCTTTGGGTACGTTTTCGAAACATCAGCAGTATTATCCATTTGTATAGTATATTTTTCAATTGCTTTAGCTATAAAACGTTGATTGCATTTTCTTCTAATTTTAAATATTTGTAGGTATACAACTGTTGGTAGAGAAATACTTCCACAGATTAAAACTGGGGATGTTATTCGATCTGCAAAGCTAGTGGAAGGTCAAGACCGCCTCGTATTGCCAAATGAGAATTAATTTGCTGTTGTTCCAGACCTAAACTTCCTGAGTTCCTTTCATTCATTTGAATTTGTTGTAATTTATATGTCATTAGCCTGGTTTTCTCTTCAGGTTGCTCTGCCAAGTTGGTGATTTCTTGCTTACACCCCTTACCGGGAAATAAAGAAAAAAAAGATGTTGTATAATTTTTAATTTTTGTACATTTGTTGATTTTTGGTATCAAATTGTAAGGACAAAAATAAAATTCCTGTTTGCCAGAAGAAGTTCTTGCCATGTATGTGTAGAGAGAGGTGTATGTGTGTTCGTTCGCATCAATTTTTATTTACTAATTCTCCCCATTATCAAAAGTACCTAGAAGTTCGATATGAAATCGTATTAAGCAAGTGTTGGAGGCTATATTTTTAAATAGAAAGAAATATTTAAATAGAGCGAAATAGTATATGATTCAAGTAACGAGTTTAACTAATTGAAAAAAGGCATGGTTGGTGGTTGTTGTGAGGGCCTTGCTTGATGATATAGACACGCAGAAGGCTCATGGCTTCCATATTTCATGAGTTTTGGGTTTTATAGTGCTTGGTGTCGTAATAAATGTGCCTGCAACTATGAAGCACGGACACTCTTTTTAGGAATTTCGTACCAGTGTCAGACACGGACACGAGTGTTTGTGGCTCGGACACGTGTCCAACACTTCTGTGAAGTGTCCAAAAATTATTTTTTATTGGACACGGGGTGGATATAGCTCGGAAACGGGGTGGTCACGGCTCTGACACGCGGAAAACACGTGGGGGACACGGCAGGGTATATTTTGTAATTTTTTTAAAAAAATAAATGGGGTACTTAATGTAATTTATTAATTTTAGAAGTTTAAAAGTAAAATTTTGATTAAAAAAAAAATAATAAAAAAAAATAAAAAAAAAAAACAACTACAGACAACAGACTATTACATAGAAAATTTATTTTCTTTCGCTTCCTCTCTCAGTCTCTCCTCTCCTTTAATTATCTCTATACATGAACAAGATATTTTTTTTTTTTAAGTTACATGAAGAAGACTTTGTGAAAAACTGAAAGTATATATGTTTATTCATGTACATATTTAGCCCATTATAACTATATCTCTTCTACACATATTCGTTTGGATTGAATCAACTTTATTTTTTTTATTTATTTTCTATTTTGTCTTATCTATGTTTTTCTTATAATAGAGATAAAATTATTGAAATTAATCCTGTTATTTGTTGTTTTATTTGTAATTTTGTATTTATATATACCTGCTTGTTCTTAAGAAAATGAATTTGCAAGGTTCTAGTAATTATATTTTGAATATATAATTATATATATATATTATTTTATAGGCGTATTCGTGTTTTTTTTTTTTTTTACCTGTTGATGTATTCATATCATATCATACTTATATTTTGTATTCATGTCCATGCTTAATAGGTCGGCTTAAAAAAAAAAAAAAAACAAAGGCAAGCCTAGTGTTTTACAAGCCATGGTCAAATTTATACCTAGTACCGAAAATTGAGAACCTCACCTCATTTTTTATATTATTTCAAATACAAACAAAGAGAAGTTGATCAAGTCTAAGATGGACCTTGAAAATTTTGAATGGCTTATACAAGAGCCCAACTTGTTCATGTCAGTACAAGATTACAGGTGGGTAGTAGAATAGAATAACGAAGAAGAAGACAGATACTTCGATATACTATTAAGTTTTCCTGCCCACAAAATGGTAGTGGGCCCTTGGACCTAGAATGTGTGGACTACTCATTGCTTGGAAGCGCATATAGATCATGTGGGACCCACTTACGTAATGGAATTGGTGGTACTGTAGATGTTATGTTTTCTCTCCTCAAAACTCTTGCTGGCCCACACTATTCAAGATTATGAAATGTGGGTCGCTTAAGATGAATCATTGAAAAACGCATATAACCTTGAGATTTTGGCTCAAATTAAGGCTTCGAAAAGAAAAGGGTAAGTGTGGGATAGTGATTTTTTTATTTGGTTGTTATTAAGGAGTGAAGAAAGAATTTTGAGAGATTTGTAGGGATATGATTAGGGTATGATAGAAATTGGTTTAAATAATTTTTTTTTTTTTTTTTTTTTTTATATCATTCATTTTTTTCAATAAAAATATTATTATTTTCTTTAACTACTTATTCAAACATTAATACTTATCATTGCAGGATATGCTCCAAACACAACTTAAATGTATCAATCATTCAGCCACCTCTCCCAAAGACAAGGAGGAAGGGCTTAGAAAAGAGTACTGTTCAAATTAAGTCCAATAAATACTTAGTATAATTTTAAATAAATAGCAATATAGGAATGTAATCTAAAAATAGATATAAAATATGGTTATTTATTTATAAAAATTAAAATAAATATCAATTTAGTAATGCAATTTAAAAAATTTGTACTTATTTAATACTATCTTCATTCTTTTTTAGTTATTCGCTTCGTAAATTATAACTCATATAGTTATTTATTTATAAAAATTAAAATAAATATTAATTCAGTAATGCAATTTAAAAATTTTGTACTTATTTAATATTATCTCCGTTCCTTTTTAGTTAATGGTTTTTTTTTATAAAAAAGGGACAAAGGAGTATTATTATTTGTTTATAAAAAAATTGTCCAATGACAGGCTCCATTTAATCTGTGGACTGCATTGAGTAACGTCGTCGATCAGAATAATAAAGTGGATAATACCTCTCCAATTGGCAGCCAAAGTCAAAATCTGATAGCAGAAAAATGAACTTCGTCCACCATTTATCATTAAACACGTGTCCTTGGACCCGCCAGATTCAACACAATACGGTAATTCGACTCTCACCAGGTCACCCAATCCAACGGCCTCTTCGTATAAACAACACCCTCTCCTCACTGGTTTTGACTTGGAGAAACCACGTCGACGATTGATCCCAACTCACTCGCTTCGTTCCTCCCCAAATGGCCTCTGTCAATAGCATCATACCCCAAACTTTCCTCTCTCTCTCCAAACCTATCAAGGATTCCAAGCCCAAACCCTCAATTTCCCACGTTAAGGGTGTCTCTGGGTCTTTTTTGCAATGTTTCAGACCGACCCAGAACCAAATTTTCTCGAGAAACAACCAGAGGACCAACTGGGTAGTCGTCGGGTCAGTCGCGAAAGAGCTGGATGTGATACCGGTACAGAGCAGGGACATGACGGACCATCAAGACGGCGTGGTGAGCGGGACTGATAGAGAGATTGAAGCAGGAGAGGTTGTGAATCAGGTGGTTGGTGGGTTCGGGAATGAAGGAAGGTTGTCGTTCGAAGGGGCTGGTGATTTTCAAGGGTTTTCATCGTCGAGTGCTTCTTCTTCTGGTGGGTCTGATGGGGAGAGTGAGGAAGAAGATATAGAGAGATTGATTGATAGATCCATTAATGCTTCTATTGTTCTCGCTGCGGGCACTTTCGCGATCACCAAGTTGCTCACCATCGACCAGGACTACTGGCATGTAAGTCAAGAAAAGTTGATACTTTATATATGTGTGTGTTATGTAATACCATATGGGTAAGTGTGATATATTGTTCTACAATTTTGAGATGTTATTTGGTGTGGACTGTTGCTGATTAGTACAATTGCAATAAGGAAATGGGTTTTGGCAGACCGGTAGAATTTGTTGGGTATATGGATTTCGTTAATTGATTTTGTTAAGTTCAGTCAAGTTATTTCTTTTTCTCCCCATTGGGTCTGGCTGTGTTTGAAGGGTAATTTTCAGTCAAGTCATTGTTTTGTGTGTTATTGTAAGTTATAATAACATCTTTATGTTAATCATGGTTGTTAGTAGTAGTCATTTTTTTTTTTATGGATTTGTTTGTGTATATACATGAGCCGGGTCATATCCTCTGTTTTGTTTTATCAATGACATACTGTAAGAGTATCAAGGCTTTTGGTTCAGGATATAAAACATACAGCGAATTTCTATTAAGTTGAGGCTGGAATCAATTAACTAATCTTAGAACTAATTGTGGAATTGTATCATGATTGATGAATGCTAATCAATTGAAGCAAAAAATTTGTGATAATTAGAAGAGTACTCTAGTGTATTGTATAGAATATGAAGTCGAGGAACTTGTTGGATGATTGTTTACTATGAACCTGTTAAAAGATTTGTAAATGTTTAGGAGCACAACTTAATGTGAAAATGGTTGTGATTAAGGTAGCAATAAAAGGCATGCAAGGATGAATCACATGCTTCATTAGTTTTCATGTAGAATATAATACTGTCATTGAATTCATATGGTTTACTCAAATGGTTGGGATTAAGCTTGGTTTGGTTGATATTTAAGTGAGTTGAGCCATGGTTTTATTTGTTTTTAAGAGATAAGATTCTTGTTCTGTGTGCAGTTATCGTATAATGTTTGTATGCTCCTGATTCATTCTTTTCCTGTTGAATTTCACATGAAGATAAAAACTGGGTTGTGTGCGAGTTTTGCATGATGATCTATTGAACGTCATATTGAATTAGAAAAAGATGCGGGGAAGAAGAATTTTGCGATGCTCTTTTCTATTATAAAATACTGAAATCATTATTTCCATTATTGGTTTATTTATTTATTTTCTAATGCTTGGTGCTTGTGTACTCATTTTCCATTGTTGTTGGTATACCTTGGCTTGAATATTAAAGCCAACTCTATACAAATGAAATTCAAGTGCAGATAAATATATGTCCTTATACAGTATGCTTACAAAGAGCTACAAGCATCTGTGTAATGTCTCGGATTTTTGGAGAGTTGTTTTCACTAAACCTCGTGTCTGTCTGGCTATAGTATTTTTCATACATTCATGGTTATTGGTTTCCTTTTGAATGTGTTTTCCAGAATGTGGTGTTAATTAGTGTGCTAATGAAAATTACTAATTTGTATAATGTGCAACAACTCATTCCCTTCTTCTAATAGGGCTGGACAATTTTTGAGATACTGAGATATGCACCTCAACACAATTGGAGCGCATATGAGGAAGCTCTTAAAACAAACCCAGTTTTAGCGAAAATGATGATCAGTGGAGTTGTTTACTCTGTAGGGGATTGGATAGCACAGGTCAGTTGGTAATTTGAGATAATTATGATCAGTATTGCTTTTAGCTTCAAAATGGTTCTTTACATGATTGTTCATTAGTTTATATTCAATCAATATGCAGTGCTATGAAGGAAAACCTATTTTTGAGTTTGACCGCGCACGCATGTTCAGATCGGGCCTCGTTGGCTTTACACTTCATGGATCGCTTTCTCATTATTATTACCAGTTCTGTGAGGTAACCATTACGGCTGCAAATTTTTCTTGTTTGGCTGGTCGTGTCTTTGGATTACAAAATGACATTCTCTGGTTTCCAGGAACTTTTTCCTTCTCAAGATTGGTGGGTGGTTCCTGCTAAAGTGATCTTTGATCAAACTGTATGGGCCGCAGTCTGGAACAGCATTTACTATACATTTGTAGGATTTTTACGGTTTGAATCCCCTGTCAGTATTTTTAGCGAATTGAAGGCAACATTCTGGCCGATGTTGACGGTAAGAATATCACCTGTTTTTTCTGTCTTTGTTTTTATCTCTTTAGGTTTTAGAGCCAAACTTGAAAGAGGTGAATAAATCAGAATTTTTATTTATTTATTTATTTTGGGTTGGGGTGTTGTAGAAGAGAAGAAGGGGGGATTCATGGTTTTAGTAATTTCATTTTTTTTCTTACATGCATCTCAGGTTAAGGTTTTGAACTTGCTGTAGTGTGCGCTTTATTTGCACATCTAATGGTGTTCTTGGTGTTGATTGTTTTGCAGGCGGGGTGGAAACTTTGGCCATTTGCGCACCTTATTACCTATGGTGTGATCCCGTTAGAACAAAGGCTTCTTTGGGTTGACTGCATAGAGCTTATTTGGGTGACAATACTCTCAACGTAAGTCTTGGATCTGGATTAAAATAATGAGTACTAAGAGCCTTTTAGTGAAAGCACTTATTTTCAGGAAAATCGCTGGTTTGTGTGAATAAATATGCATGAATGCATTTATAAAACCCTCAGCTATCCAACTTATGATTCATACTGCTAAGAAAACAGTATATAAACATGAATTTGCTGGCTTATTCAAGTATGTGTAATCTCTAATCATTTGGATAGGATTTTGGGAAATCAAAAGTTTTTATTGGGGTAACACACTGTGTAGGTTTAGTGGTATATTTTGCGCCCCAGAAGGGCCAGTTGTAGTGGGGTTTAAGTTCCAATTATGACGGGTATGTGTATTGTACTAGTTATTAGCTGGAAGAACTGAAAAGATTGCCACTGTTTTGAGCAATAGTTGCAATACATACAACCATACAATTTTCCTGGTCTGGGGATAATATCCAATCCTTCGGGGAATGAGTTTTCTTCCTTTTAAGCCTTTTGGCTTGTGTGGAAGTCCCTGAATTCTGAGAGATGGTCGATCTTTTCAGGACCACTAGAGCCATGTCCTGTTGTCACATGTGAGCATGAGAATAGTGATTTTCTGGTCGATAATTTGTGGCTGAAATAATCCATTACGCTGATTCTAACACATTCTGTGTATGTCTTACTTGAGTCATAATATAGGTGGACTCTTTTGGTTATCTCTAACATTGCCGTCATTCTTTTTTTCTAGTTATTCAAATGAGAAATCAGAAGCAAGAATCTCCGAGGCACCAGCAGAAGAAAACTCCAATCTTCTAAAGGTACGCCAAGTGAGTGATTAATTTGGGACATGGTCATTTTTGCGTTATACGATTTTGAATGTGCTTTCCATCTTTCTCACTTTTTAGGAGTAAATTAATTGAGAACCAGAGAGGGAAAGGAGACAAAGCTTTCCATCTTTCTCACTTTGTAGCATTGCAAGATGGAAGTCTTTGTCATGATGGACCACAGCTTGAGAAATTTGTGGCAATGGCGGTAATGATGCTGGAAAGGCTGGTTATAGTTTTGCTCACATCCGTGATACTTGCCTGTGTGTGTTTTGTAAATTCACCTTCTTTTTCTATCTTTATGTATGCAAAATCTTCTATATTTTTTGAGGTATACTCTAACCAACTGCTTTTTACTAAATTATACATGGTGCTAAAAAAAAATTCTGTGAAAATTTCCTTTTTAGCATCTATACAGATACAACTATTTTCTTTTTTATTTTTGAACTCCTGGAATTGTATAATTCATTTTGTTGCAACAAATTTCGAACTTGCAATTGTGGGAAGAATTGATAGATGTTTATTAATGCACAAACGGTTTCTCTTCGCAATTCCTTTTGTGTAGGGCCAAAGTAGATGAGTATAACAGATTTGTGGGGAATTTCATGTATATATATATATAATATGTGTATATATATATATTTGAAAACAATAATAAAAACTTATACTTCATGGTTTCTTGGTGATGGGGTTTTTTTCACTAAAAAGTTAAATAATAATGACTTTGAACAATGGCGCCCTTCATCATGCTCCCTCTGCACATATATATTCCGACAGAGAGAGAGCTCAGGTATCTGTGATTATAGAGCTTCAAGTCTCTGGTAAGAAGCATGGTTTGGAGATTTACACCTCAGTACAATAGAAATCTGATACGCATTTCAAAATGGGTTTCTTACTATAAAAAAAAGAAAAAAAAGAAGAAAAAAAGTAGCTATATACTCAATATATATCATCATATTTACATAGTTCCTTAATGATATCATTCATGATCATGGGTTCGGGTATATAATACATTACTGATTCAATAATTTAGTTCACTCTTTTTTTGGTAAATATAATTTAATTTGCCTTACTTTGTTCTGTTCATGCCATGTAAAATGAGATTTCTTGCTTGATTTAACTCAGATTCGTTAGTTCTTACTTGAATAGTTTCAAATGAGTTTTTTTGTTCTTTGTTGATAATGTGGTATTCAAACATGAATTGCATCAGATAATGTTAACATTAAATAAATTTTATTTTTACTTTTAAATATATATATGTATATATAAATGTTTATTTAAATATATATGTTAAGAATTTTTTTAATTATAATATTCAACTTCATGTTTTTAAATTTAATTATAGATTTAAATTCAAATTTATTCATTTACATAAATAATAATATTAACCTTCAATAAAAATGCATATGAATATTAAATATATTTAAAAATTAAATAAATTATATATAAATTTTATGTATTATATATATATGTATAATATTAGAAAAAGTTCTCCAAATTAAATATATTATGTATTATGATGAAACATGTAGTTTTTTGTGCTGATGCTTATCAAAGTCAAAAGGGGTAATAATGTTTTTTTACATATAAAAAGTGCTTTGACACGTCTGGGGGTGAGTGAAAAGCAGATCAAACATTTGTAATATAAGTGATAATTTTTTTCGAAAGGTATTTCAGTGATATTTAACCAAACCTGAGGGAGTGTCCGTATAATTAACCCCTATCCATTTAGTTCTACTTATTTATTTTTTGTACTTTAAGATTTGCAAGTTTTTTCAACTTCTTTAGTGTTACCGTATAACCGTATTTGATGAGGATGGAATAATCAAAAGCAAGATGATTTTTAGTGCGTGATCTGATAAAGTATGGCATGACGAAAAATTGAACTAAAAATTTAGCTCACATCACACTCATAATTGAACAAGAAGAAATGCCGACCCTGAGTTGTGATTATCCTGTTTCCACTTCCAGGAATCGATGGCTACTTTGCAGGAAGATGAAGCTTTTTTTCTACCTTTTGTTTTAGGAGTATTGTCTGCTGCATTTTGTTAAGCTTCAATGGTTACTTAATGGAACAAGTAGTAATCCAAAAAAAAAAAAAAATGTTATGAAAGATAAGAACTCATTGATGTTTGATTTGAAGGGTTTTTTGCTAGAGAAGCCATATTGGAATATAAATTTTATGCATTAGTTCAGTTTTCAACATCAACTAGGGACCCAAAAAAACACAAAGAAGTATTGGGCCACTAAGCCCAATTGAATATGGCCCCTACTAATGACGATGGGTGTCATATGCATGATCTGCATCTCTGGAACAATCTATCACAAAAACTTTTGGGTTGTTCCCTTTGCAAATACTAATGCCCCTAGAGTTGACCAACATCCAATTTGATGCAATGTACTGTAGGCTTTGATTTAGACTAAAATTAAACTAATCAAACATGAAATGGGATGTGATGAGAAAAAAACAAAAACAAAAAAATTGAAATAGGTTGGCATGTGATGGGCTAAATATGGGCCTTTGACATACTAAGTCTAAGGCCTCTTTTTCGCAAAGCAATCCACAGTTTGGAGTAGATAACCCTCCTACTGTGGATTGTTAGTGGGCCAGTGCCAATGGGTAGTTATGCTTGCTTCTATCCTCCAATTCAATTTTGTGCCTATTTTTAGGAAATTTGTTTTGGTTAAAAACCATTATGGGATACACAATTTAATTCCATTCAACAAGTTCGCTACATAAGGAAACTCATCTCTCTCTCTCTCTCACACACACACACACACAATTATTGGATTTCGAAATTGTTTTCCTTGGCTATCTTCCAAGGCATGAAAATTAAATAAGGTCCATGACTTATTGTCCTTCTCAACCTCTGTAGCATGCAAATTATGAAATTATGCTTATGCAGGGAAAAAAGAAAAAGAAGAATGAAACCATGTATGTGTGTATATATGTATTATATATATATATATACCGTACCCATCAATCCGTCTATTCTCTATATGTATCTTAAACATATGCATGTTAAGAAATGCTTAGTGTAATACATACATCAGATTGATGGTGAGATCGATTTGTAGGCTTTGTAAAAGCTTCCTCCTAGTCGAAGAAAAAAGGGGAGTAGTGGTGGTGTGTTTGGACGCAGTGATATGTATACCAAAAATAAGCACAAATTATAAGAAAAATGATAAAGTTTATTTGTACTCTTTACTTGGAAAGGAACGCAATTAGATATATATTATTAAGATAATGGATTCCTTCTGATGACAGCAAGGGAAAAGATGGTCCCATTTCTCTAAAATCTAAAGTCAGCAAAGAGAAAAGCCGTTCGTGAGGTTTGTCTCTTGATGTCAACATTGTGTGACCTTTCGGGTCTCCCATTATACTTAACCATGTCTTTTCAACCCCCCCATCAAAGAAAATGACACCCATAATCTAATCTCTCCATTATATATGTGTGTGTGTGTGTGTGTGTGTGTGTGTGTGTGTGTGGGGAGGGGGTTGATATATAAAGGCACCATAGAAAAACACAGTACACGGAGGTCAAAACACGCATCAAGTAGTATTGTCTTTTGTGTATATATTTTTGGAGATGCATGTAACCTACCATGCCTTAATTTTACTTTTCCTCGTAAATAAAATAATTTCTTATTTTATATATATATATATATATATATATATATATATATATTAGCTTAGACTTTACCACCACCTTGTCCATCTAAATTACTTTGATTTTGTTAGAGTTAGACATAGTTGATCAGACCTTGCTTATGCAGTGTGTCAAGATAGAAAAATTGGCCGATGGATCCAATATTTGATACTATTAGTTTAAGAAAGTTGCCTTTTTTGGCAAGTTTATTTTAACAAAGTTGATTGCATGTGCCTTACCAAAAAAAGAAAAAGAAAAAGAAAAAAAAAAGTTGATTGCATAGGAGAAAAAAGTATAATTCTTTGAAGTTCTTTTCAACCCTAGACCACAATGGCTAAGTATATATATATATATCCTTGTTTATCATTCATAATTCTTTCTCACTTTCAAATTTATACATCAACACAATTTCCAACTAATTTTTAATTTATCATCTAAAGGAGACCTTATGTCCATCAATTGATTAAGTCCCAAAATGCATGATTTAAAGTTGATAGTATATGAGTCAAAAGTTTTTTTCAACCCTACACCTCAATGTCTAAGTGCATATATATATATATATATATATCCTTCATGCCTCACTTTCAAATTTATGCCTCAAAACAGTTTATATATATAAATATTATTATTATTATTTAATCTCATTTTATAATATTTCTCATGTAAATGAGACCTTATGTCAATTGATTAAGTGCCAAAATGATTCAAATTACAATTGTAAGAAACGCACTTAAAATATTCCCATGTTTATTATAGTACGCCTACTTCTTCTTTTTTCTTTTTCTTTTTTGGGTAAATACCGACTTCCTCTTTTTACTTATCCTAATGGATGATATTATGTGCCTGCACCTATATAGAAGAAGAGAGATCCGTTCTGTTTTTGTTTTTGGTCATGGAAAGATAAATGGTGATACACACACACACATACATAGTTCATGCAGATCAATTATGTTTTATTGCACAAAATATTGCATGATAAAAAAATGATCATGATCTATATTTAAATGTTAATGTTTATTATCATCTACTCCAAAAGTTTAAGCTATTAGAGAGGGTGTAATTTAAATATTTTTATCCTTCAACATGCCCTTCACGCCCTTTACGTGTGGCCTTCTTTAAGGTTCAATGCGTATTTTTTATTTTTTTAATTAGGGTGACAGTGAGATTTGAACTCGAGACCTTTAGCTCTGATACCATGTTAACTACTATCTATTTCAAAAACTTGGGTTATTAAAGAGGGTGTAACTTAAATATTTTTATCCTTCAACACGAGAGGGCATGAAAGCATATGTTGAGAACTCACAAACTAATATTTGTTTAGATGGATTAATTAGCATGATAAATTCGATTACTATTATTTAAAAATAGGGTAGTGTAAAAAAAGAAAATCCCTATTACATAGAGAATGTGCAAATTAGCATATTCTGTTAAAAAAAAATTCCTACATTTTTCAAATTGACCGGCATTTTGTTAATTTCAAGATTGAAATACCTAAAATGTCCTTAAAAACTTTAATTTTAAAGGTATTTTGGTGGTCTATTTATTTATTTTGTCAACATTGACCGTCAATAGATATTAGGGAACAAAAAAAAAAAAAAAATAGTGTTTTTTTGGCACATTTTTTATAAGGGAGATTTTTTACACTTAACCCTTTAAAATAAGAAGTTATTCAATTATATATATATAATTAGAAAAATTGGAGATAAAACCATCTCCCAACTATTAAATTAAAGAGGACAACATAAAAGGGGATAATCAATAATACGTTCACTTTAATTTTAAAGTGAAATCCTATAGCTAGAAATTCAAACATAAATGAACGAGCAATGATTTTCTAATCTCATCTGTAGAGTAACTTAATTCATTAATTAGAAACAAAGTTCAACATGCCTATATCTCTTACCCAAATAATAATAATAAATCTTACCCAAAAATATATATATATATATCCCCTTATATCTGTACCTTTTTTTATTTTATTATTATTATTTTTTTTATTTTTAATTTCCAGGAAAAAAAAAAAAAGTTGACAAAGATGTAAAACAACAGGAAGGAGCTGTAGCTGTGAAGTATTAGCGACAGAGACAGTTTCATTGGAGGAGGATGAAAATCAACAATAGAACCCCCATATAGTTACAACAACTACAAATCATGATGATGATGATTTAGAAAGTATTTTTAAGTTTTTGGCCAACCCATTCTTTATGTGTTATTTACAACAATATATAGTAATAATTCTTGTCTTTTTATATCACCTTACTCTTTTTTGAAATCGAAAGGTTCGCAAATGATGGGAAAGTAGACCCATAAACATATTCACATACCATTGGCTGTGAAAACTTGTTGAAATAAAATTGTTTATAAAGTTTGATTCTTGGAAAATCACTATTTAAATATTGCATCATTTAGTGAGTAAAGCAGGAAATAAGAAGAGAGATAATGGAAAGATGTAATATTCTTACCTTGTAGAGTTTTCTGGGTGACACACAAAGGTTGCTTTTAAATGTAAACAAGCCAAACCAGGCCTTACTTTGCTGTCTTTAAATTAGAAATATATGATCAAATGATGTATCAGGACATTAGAGCACGAGCCCATGTTTGTGATTGTGACACACCAAATAAACCAACCATAACCCATAATAACACTACTACAAAGCTTTTAAGTACTGTAATTGTATCCTATTTGTCAATATATTTAATTATTATGTCTTAATTTTTTTTTTTTTTTTTTCTACATCAAGAGCATCTAGCTCATCTTTTTCTTTCCAGCTCCACATAAAACACTCATGTAATATATATGTATATAAAAATAACTACAGATTATATATATATATATATATATATATATATATATAATATGTGTGTGGGATGACCTAAAGTTGGCAGGAACAAGTTACACATGCACTCCCAGAAACTGCAGAGGCCTTCAAACAAGTCCTTTTGCAATTCCCTACCAAACAAAATCTCCACACCCAATTCAACAATCTAAAATGAATAGACTGTATCAAAGGGTGTTTATATATACTATATATATATATATATATATATATATATATATATATAAAACATCTCTCTTGTTGGCAGTATATATATAACTACACTAAAGAGCTTTGCTTAGTTATAAATAATTTATGTCTATAATAATTGAGACCGACCTCTGAAGACTAGCTTCAAGTGTACCAATTGACATCATGGAGTTGATATGGCAGGGAGTTCTGCTGTTGATAAGTTTGTTGTTGGTGCAATGAAGGGGCCTCTGCTTGTGGAAGCTGGCTGAGCAGAGTGGCGAAAGAGCTGCTGCTCTGATCATCTGTCCTTGCGACACTTCCGGTGCCACTACTATTATCTGCATGAAATCTCTTGGCCAGGGAAGAGCCGGAGGCTGTGGCTTCGTCGCTCCAGTATATAGATGGGAGTGACAACTTCAGGGGATAGTTATGGTTGTTGGAGGCCGTGGTCACCAAATTAGTAGAAAGTAGTTGTGGCTGCTTTGAGCTTGACACAGTGTTGTTCATTTCGCCATTGTTGCTCATCATTCCTTCAAACAGAGTGGCTTCATTTTCGAGCAATGGACCGTAGCTTGAGCCCTTTAGTGCTGCCTGCAGTTTAGGATTGTTTTGGTGTTGGGCAGCCAGAGGTAGTGAAGCTTGTACCGAACCAGCAAACATATCATTCATACAGCTGTGATCATCTCTTTCATGATCCATCAGTCTCTGAGCTGTATTGTTCTTCTTGTAGATTCGGCATAACACCCAATCATCAAGCTACAGATTAATTCAGCGATCACTCAAATGAATCATATGGTATGAATAAATGGTATTGGATTAATAGATGAAAAATGAATTACCCTTAAGGAGGCTTTCTTGTTAGCCACGTCGAAGCCAGGGGGTTTTGTATTCACTTTGTTATCAACAAGGCGATATTCATGCATGATCCAATTGGTTTTGATCCCTTTTGGGGGCTTCCCTCCATAGAAAACAAGGGCCTTCTTCACACCCACCTTATGCGTCCCACCGGAGGTCAGCACCGGCTTATCCGTTCCGGTCGCCTTCCAGTACCCAGACGTCGCCGCCCGGTTTGGCCGAGCCCCATTCGGATACTTCCGGTCCCGAGGACTGAAAAAATACCACTCTTGCTCCCCAAACGTAGCCTTCGCTGAAAAAACAATTCAAACAATTAATTATTACTACTATTAATTAATGAATTAATATGTGTGTTTGTGTGTGTGTATATATATAAGAGACTTAAGAGTCACTGGCTGATGCTGTGACAAAAACACAAACACTTGAGCGTCAACTCCTTCCAATACACTCGATTGGATTCTATGTAATTTTAGAAATAAATATACACGCACATATGTATGTGTGCGTGTGATATATATATAATGAATTGTTACCTGGTAGCTCCCATGGATCAAACTTGTAGAGATCGACTTCGGCGATGATGGAGACGGGAAGGGGAGCGGAGGCGGCTTTTTTCTTGAGGTAGTGAACAACCAGTTCTTCGTCGGTGGGGTGGAAGCGGAAACCCGGCGGGAGGTGCGGCTGCTGTGAGCCGGTTGATGAGTCCGTACTCTCCATGTATGGAATCAAAACTCTCTCTATTGTTGAATTTGATGCAGCGATTCTTCGGATTCAATCTGTAAATTGATGAGAAGAAGAGCGTAGAGACAGAGAGAGAGAGAGAGAGAGAGAGAGAGAAATGGTGGTAAGAGTTGGGGAGAATCTTGTTTTATATGGCATCGAGGTTATGAGATTTGTGATGGGGCCCTGTTTGGATCGACGGAATGGAATGAAAAGAAAGGGCCAGTTTAATCCTGTTTGCTATAGTAATTGAAAAATATTAGTAAAAGGGCGAAGAAAAAGGCAATCATGTTGTTTTTTATTTTTTTATTGTGGTTGGTAAAAAGAAATGATCGAAATAAAGATATTATTTTTCTCGCATTTCTACGATATTTTTGAAAATAAAATTATTATAACGCACTCATTATTTAAATTAGGAGTGAAAACTAGATCTCAAGGACTTATCTTCTGAATTCCCGCCGTTGTGATATACTTAGGCCCGTACCAAGATAATAATGATTTTTTTTTTTTTGATAGAAAGTCTAAGTATTAAAGTCTAGTAGTGTGAAAAGTGAATATATATAAGTGTATTTTTGTCAAGGTTAAAATAATAAAAAAAAAGTCACATAAATTATAAATTTTATAAATTGATTTGAAAATAACAATTCTTTTTTAACTAATATGTTAACATTTTTTTTGACTTTTTTTCTTTTTTCTTTTATCATAAAATATCTACTATTTGTTTATATCTTTAACCCTTATCTTTTAATTTGTGTCAATATAAATTTTAAAATGTGCAATGACATATAAATTCTTGCATTTAATTTTTAAATGTAATAGCAATTGCTGCATGGTCGGAGTGATTGAGTTATTTTTTGTGTCTGGGGGTCCGTATTCGAGTATTGCACACTCTCTCTCCTTTTTAAATGATGGAAATTTTAGAATAAATGATTAATAATAGATAATCAAATCCTAACTTTAATTCTCTTTTATAAGAATTAAAATTAAAACACATATTAAATCAAATAAAAAAGAATGACAAAAAAATATTAAAATTTACAGCTTCACTAACAAACCTTTGCATTTGGATTTGGGAAAGGGTCCGAATAGTGAAATTTAATGAGTATGGTTTTGCAAAATCCATAGATAGGCCCACGTTAACGTGTGATGGTTGGTGGAATGAAAACAACGTGTATAACAAACGGAGACTGGAGGGTGATTAGCAATAGAAGCTGGTCTGTTAATGACGGTAACGGATATATTTCGCCGTTAAGGAGTCGAAACGTGTTATTCCAAATGGCGGAGAGGTCAACACGTGGCATCAGAGATTGCGGGGACCACACAGCGCACACACACAACACAAGGCAACAAAAATGAACTATTGAAGAAGATAGATAAGTCGACAAGGTTTACGCTTCAGATGTCATGCTTTTGTTATGCAAATGCCACCCCACAAAACAAAAACCCAAAGTAACACTCACACTCACTCACTATATATCGATTTGATTGAACCCTGTAAAAAATCTCTTCTCCACCAATACTCACTCTTCTTGGACTCATTCCACCTGGCCCCACTTCGTCAGCCCAAACAAAAAAACAACTTTGACCATCTCATTTACAGTCAAATATATATATATATTACTTTTGTCAAAAGATTTATCATATGTTTAATGGAATATATATTGATCCTATTCAAATGAAATGACTATGATGATCATAAAGTTTGATACAAACACCACTTTGCTTTGTCTCATTTAGGACAATTTATCTAGTATATCCGATTAGGAGTACTAAAAATATATCACTGTCGAGAATCTGTCGTGTTATGATAATAAATTATTGAGTGTTTTTATCTTTCGATCTATCAATTAAATTCTTTTTTTAAGTTATTTGATTTTACAAGGTTATAATAAGTCAAATTAGAATTTTTACGAAAAAAAATAAAAAATAGAAATGTGTTTACTAAATATTTATTATAAAAAAGTCTCAAGAGTATTCTAACCATATGAGATTTCTCCATCAAGTTTCAAATAGTTGTAAATGGTTAATTTTGAAATAATGAGGTGTGGGATGATGGTCTAAGTACTTTTGAGAATAAGAGGAAATTAAGATGATATTTTGTTTTTTAGGGTTGAAAATATGATTTTATGTAATAAATGGGGAATAATTTTTAGTGGAAGAAAACAAAATTTTCACTATTGAAATGGGAGCGAAAATTTTAGTGTTGAAGTACTGACTTAACTGATTTTGAGGTTTAATGAAAAGTTGGTGGAATAGATTTGTTGGACAATATCATACAATAAGAGAATACGAACCTCAACTAAGAATATGACACTTGTGGTGCTTCGAAATTCTTGAAAATGGTTTTTTGAAATTTTAATTATTATTATTTTTTAAAAATTTTAGACAAATTATATGAATAGTTTTCCATGAGATTTGGTAGGCATTTTCAACAACACACTTGAGGCCCAAATTTGTTAAATAGTTTAGTGAAAACTCATGAAGTATTTTAAATGTTTAGTGATAAATAGTTTTTCCACTTAAATTTAACTCTTTTTTGATGACACTTGTTTTTAAAGTGATATTCGAGTATTATTAGACAAACTTAATTAGAGAATCGCTTAATTCATTTAGAATGAAGTATTAAAGTATAGAGTAGAAATGAATACTATTATTGAAGTGGTTCATGTCATGGAGATTTTATGTGGTTTAATATATTTTGAATTAAAAAAATTATGAAAATAACGTGTTTTTTTTGGATTAAAAGGTAAACTTGTGTATAAAATAAAAAGAATGTACATGGGTCCCAATAGATGTTACAGCTACAATATGTACATATCAATAGCCATGAATGGATGTTATCAATAAACTAGATAAATCACATCCACGGAAACGACTTTGTGAATTCATTTTAGTGAGAAGTGAAAACTTAAATCATTGTTTGGGGGAGAAGATTCCACATATATTTTGTGAAAACTTAGAATGATGATCAGTAGGAATTTCATGAAAATGATTTCTTTTGAATTGTAAGATAAAGTTTTGACTATATATCGAGCATTCTTCATTTTTAAAGATTCAATTATCAGAATGGTAATTAATTGCCCGTAGGTCTAACCACGGTTTTGTCATATAATCTATCAACCTTTTCAAAAGCTTATTTGCTTGAAAAATAAAAAATATATATACACGAAAGTGATTTTTGAAAACATGTTTCTTGGAGTATTTTGAGAGTTTCATGGTTATATTTTTGAAAAAAAAATATTCAACCGAAAAAGTAGCAAAATGCACATTAGCAGATTTTTGGAATTAAACATGTTTTATAAGCTGGTCAAACTCAAAAAACTACGTCCTGGTTTTCAACAAAATATGCAATTTTAAAAAGCAGGTCAAGATAAATATTTAATCTAAAAAACTAGCTAAATTTAATCAATGATCTTATTTGCTAAATCGGGAGATACCTACAAATTAAACATAATTATACCTACAAATTAAACATAATTATATATGTTTGGTCTCATTTATGAGGATGACAAAAGAAATGAAAACACCCTCAACTACGTGCAAAGTAAAATGTTTATCAAAGTTTATAAAAAATCATATGACGGGGAGGTTTGTGGGGGAAAAAAACCAAATAGAGAGAATTTTGAATCCTGCAAGTAATTTTCTCAATTTTTAGTCCGATTTTGTTGTAATTGGTGGAGCGATTATCTTTTAACTTAAAAACTTAAATTATTTAGTAGTAATAAGCTTCTTTATCCGTAGTCTTCCAGACTGAATATATCCATGAGAGTTACTACTGACACACACACATACATATATATATATATATATATATGTATATAATCTTGATGAACAAATATAGGTTTTGGGTAGGGTAGGGTAGGGTAGGGTAGGGTAGGGTGGGTGGGGTCAAGTGTTAGTTTCATGATCGACCAGGGTCCCATTTGTTTCACTTCTTGTAGTCCATTCCTTATCATCCAGGGCACAGCCCCTTCTCACCCAATCACATCTGACACCATTCTCTCTCTCTCTCTCTCTCTCTCTCACAGAGACACGCATTAAAGTTTGTTAAATAAAAATCACTATAGTGGCATGCTTAGCTCACTTTACTCTATCCTGTTCAACTTAATCTAAATTAACGTTAATTAGCCTCAACAAACCGATTAGACATTGATGTGGAACAACAGACTTCACATGGACCTCTGACTGTGAGGCACACATGACAAAAACCAAGTTATTTTCAAGAGGAGGACTATATATGACTCTACTGTCTCTAGTCATATAATTCTATTGTCTTTTATTAGTTGTTCATATTTAATTTTATAATTTTTTAAAAAAATATGTAATTAATGCATTACTCCTATTTTAAATTATTAAGTTGTCTTTCAAATTTTAAATATATATAACACCAAATTGTAAAGATTTTTGAAAAATTAGAAAGGTAATTATAGAAATATGGCATTTATTTTGTTTGACTTTTCAAAGTGGACATTTAATTTGAGACATTCTAAAAGGAAAAAATAGACTACTAATAAGGGACAGAGAGAGTATATGAACACTTTTTATTAGTTCAAATTTTAAACTAATTTTTCTCTAAACAATTTTTAATATTAACATTGGCAATGATGGAGTAAAATTATCTTGATTAAAAGAACTTCCAATTAAGTTAAAACGTGTAGGTTCTTCATTGTCCAAAAAAGGATAAACTTTGGATTAAGTACCTAACTTCCCAACGAATCCATTTAATACACTCATTAACTCATTTTCTTTGATGGCCTGATGATGTTGGTGAATTTGTGTAGAGATTAATTAGCGAGCATATATATATATGACAATATGACATATTAATTGTGTGTTTAATTACTTAAATGTCCTCTAGAGTAGTCGATGTAAGAGATGGAATCTTTAGAACGTGGGTGGTTATTTGTATTAGCATCCATGTGAGAGTTGCTTAAAAGCTTTTAGAGTCAAAAAAAAAAAAAAAAAGAAGAAGAAAAAGAAAAAGAAAAAAGGCTTCAAGTTAATAATAGGAATTGGAAGTTTGTATGGTATAAGTCAATTTCTTTGTGATGGTATACCTAA